TTAGAGAGACACTCTCTCTCTAGGCAGCAAGAGAAGTTTCTCCCAAGCTCTTGAATAAAACTTTCTTCCCACCGGGGCGGGAAAGCTAACAAGGCCTTCCCCACCCCCACCCCCACCCCCTGCCCACTGGGGAGAAACACACTGCCCTTGTCCCGATTCTCCAATGTTCAGAAAAAAGACGATTCTCTGCTGAGACCTAGCTGTCTGGGAGCTTGGACAGCAGGCAGCAGGCTCCACTTCAAGGGCTGCTCGTGGCTCCTCCCTTTCCATGGCTCCTGAACCCCGGAACAATAAGCTATAGGTGTGGTCTTCTTTTACCCTTTATTATCTCTGCTTTGTCTCAGTTTGCTGAGCAGTGGTGGGGGAGGGCAAGTTTGATCTAGATCTGTGATAATCATAAAACCATACTTCTCTTTTCTCCTCTTTAGAATAGTAAACATACTTATTTTATAGTTGCTTTGGATTGTTCTATGATCTCCAGTGCTTGGGGGTGTTCACTGCCCTGTTTATTGCCTTTGCGGACTCTCCCTCATGATAGTTTGTTGATGTGAGGTGTGTAATTTTTTTTATAGTGGTGGGTTTTTTTTCTCCCGTGGGAGTCCCAGGTGCCCCAGATTGGGGAATGTCTCTGCAGAGAAGGTTTGTCCTTGTTCCTGCTGGGGTTTCTGAGTTGGTTACTATCCTGGACAAATTTGTATGTAAGTTGGCTGGGAGTTCCTGCCACACACTCATGAGATACATTTGAACTGTGAACCAGGGTCAATATCAGGGTCTTCATTTCTCTTGGAGACTTTTCCCCCCTCACTTGCTTCCCGGGGCCAGTGGGGTGAGTTTCTGTACTTCCTTTTGTTGAACAGTGATGTCCTGCTCTGTTCTTCGCTTTACACAGGGCGGTGTCCATTCTAGCTTCCTGCTTCCCTTGGACTCGGGGTCACACCTCCCGTCTGGTGCGTTACAACGCCAGCCTCCCCCGTCAGGGTTTACCTCCAGTGCGTCTCTCACTACCACTCTGGCTTTGGGTTTCCCTCTGTTTCTGGTACCAGAGAGTGAGACTTGGTTGTGTATTAACAATTCTAGTTGCTATATTTTACCCAGCTGTGTTTGGCCAGTTTCACCTGCCTCGTTTCTGGCTGCAGTCTCATTCCTCCATTCCCTCTCTGGGACTAAAATGAGGTGGTGAAAACCACGCAGGCACAGAGCTCCCCCGTGCGTGGCAGTCATGCCCACTAAAGGCCAGCGAAGCCCACTCAGTGCAGCAGCTCTGGGGACCAGTGAATTCCTCGGCTTCTAGTGTGGGCACAGACAGCCCGTGCACGAGCCCCTGACTTTCTCCAGTGCCAGTTCGTTCCATTTGGGTGCCAGGGTAGAGAGCCCGCTCTCACCTTCAGGGTAGACTTGCACCAGGCCAAGGGACACTCTAAGTGGTCTGAAGCATCTCCAAGAGACTGAGGGAACCCTGAAACTAGTACTCATCTTCTCCCAGCTCAACATTAATGCCAGCGTCCCCTCATGCTCCTCTATGTCTGCACACCTGGCCAGGCACAGGAAGGGAGGGTTCGAGGTGAAAAGGCCACTGGGAGGAGGGACTCTTTTTACCAGTGGTAAGAGAGTTGAAGGAACGAAGGCACCAACTCACAGCTGGAGCCAGAGTCCTCACGGAAGAGTCCCTGATCCAGAGGTCCCTGGGACTACGGAGGGGCTGATGGCGACCCCTTGGGGAGTCCTTCGGAAGAATAAGAAGTTAGAAGAAAGTACCAGCCACAGCCAGCCAACCTGAGGAAGCCTCGGGCCAGAGTGCCCCAACCTCCTCTCTCATCTGGCTGGTCCCTTTTTCCTTATCACTTAGGAGCTACTCGGCTCCGTTCCAGACCAGCAGCCTAGAGCAGTGGGCTGGAGAGAAGAGATGCCGCTGAGCTAGAGCAGCCCAGCGGCAGAAGAGAAAGTGGGTGATAAATTTAAATAACCAGCTTGACTTGGCAGCTTGCTGAGTTGTGATGCAGTGAAATTAAAATCTCGGCAGAACTTGCAAACACTACCCAGAAAAATTGGTCTCTCTCCTTGGTTCCATGATGGAAGGTGGGGAGGGCAGCTATCGGGCCGAGCCGCGGCCTCTGGCAGCCACCCTTGCTTGCAATGTGATTAGCTGTGTCCTGGCCCACTGGGCCCCACTCTCCCCTCCACACAATAGTCCAAGCTCCTCTCTCCTCTCAGTCCTGACCTTGTGGAACAGCTGTATCAAGTGGCTGGTGAAGTTTGAAATCAGCCTCCAGTGCCAGGAGGTGGCAGGAATATCAATAAGGTCGGCTCTTCAAGTTGGGCTAGGGCATTCCGGGCTGCTTTCCTCAGGACCCTTTGCAAACCCAGAGGTTTGCAGCCTCAGCTTCCTGTCCCCAGGGAAGACGAGCTGGGTGCCTGGCATGTGGAGGATGAAGAGGGCTCCTCGAGCACCAGGGCACAGAGGATGCCCCCTGCCCTCTCACCCTGAGCACATGCCTGGCCAGAATCGCCGATCTGAACGGGCCTCCCTGTCTCCTCCTTCACCAAAGCTCTTCACACTCTCCAACCAAATCAGCTTTTTGAGAATCTTTGCAGAGGATTTCTGCAAATACACCACCGTCTCTCCCACATCCCAGCCACGCTTGGAGCCTGGTTCTCCAAGACGCCTGCATCTTTCTACAGAACTCTTGGGCCTGCTCTCCCTGTGTCGCTGCCTGCTGCTCCCCTCGAAGTCCTGGCCTGAAGGCCAACATGCTGGACCTGCTGCTGAGATGGCCCACAAAGTCTCTGGGCACTGCCCCACTTCTCACCTTGACAGTACCTTCAGCAAATTCTGTTTGTCCCCATAATAAACACATCATGAATCATTCATCTTTAATAGATTATGCAAATTAGGAGGACATAAAATCAACAAAGATCAATAACTGCAGCCGTTTAATTGCCAGCAAAAACATTTTAAGAATGAGCAGCCCTTTCTCGGGTAATGGCACCATTCATCCAAACATTGGATCTTGGCCTAAGTGTAGAAAAATCATTCCCGGCCCCCACCCCCTTCTTCCTCCCCTCCCCCACCTCTCCACACACTTCTCTCTTTTTGGTAATTTCCAGTTTCTGAGCGAGTTTCCCCGTCATTACCACTGGTGAACAGCTCCGAATGTTAATGGTTCTGCTTTTGTTACTCCTCGCTTGATTGAAATGTCGCATACAGATTGAGATGTTAGTGCTAACTTGCCACCTGGGAATGTCAAGCTGGGTCTGAAATGAACTTTTCTCACACTTGGATCCAGATGGATCAGCCGGAGATGTTCCCAGGCTGAGCTGGGACCGTTCCAGGGCCATGGGGGGGAGGCGGGTAGGGGAGGCTCAAGGTGGAGGGACTTTCTACACCAGCACCGAGTTCTCCTGCAGCAGGAGCCCTGCCCCAAGTTCCATCGCTCCTGCCCAGGAAGCCCCCGCCCTCTGGACTGTGTCCCTGGGCCATGGGAAGCACAGCCGGAATCAGAGCAAAGCCTCCCGGGCTCTTTCACCAACTACTTAGGGTGCACCCCCTTTGGGAAGTGACCGCTGAGCTCTCAGCAGATTAGGAGGAAGGAGGCCTGGACTGGGCCATCTCTCTGGCTTGAATCAGGACACCTAGCACAGCTCAGAGAGCTTCTGAGCTGAGCTAAGGAGAGCTCGTGCCAAGGGTCAGTTGATAATAGGCTGTGACCTGATCCAGCTAAGGCTGTCACTCCCAAAGCCCTGATCATACAGTTCTCTGACACTTCCAGAACTCAGCCTCTGATTGTCTAGCCAAAGAGCCCGACTTTGTCCAGGCCAGAAGCAGTTGTACCAGCACGCTCCTTAAGGAGAACCTGGGGACACTAACAACAGGGCTGTCCCGGCCCCATCCCGGGGGAGGCTGGGTGGCCACGTGCGGCCCCTCTCAGGCCTGAGCCATACTCAGATCAGCTCCAAGTCAGCACCAGGGCCCTGTCTCTCAGCGAGCGGGGCTGGGCCTGCTCCCAGTCTTTGCCACTGGCTGTGATGCTGGATGCTCGCTGCCCTGCTGCCAGGTCCCTAGGCTGCCTCTGCTCGCCTTGCTCGGCAGGTAACGCCTCAGTGTCTCCCAATCCCCACCGAGACCCTTCTTAATCATTCTGTCTCCTAAGGAACAAACGGCACATTGGCTTTAGTGTCTCCGGAATAATTAGGTGAATTTTAATAACACCTCAATGTGTGTCTCTCCCACTTGGGCACTTTCCTGGCCTGGAAACACTTCTGCAGTGCCAGGCGCCTTCCACAGACGGCAGCTCTGAGGCCTAGAGCTCCATTGGCTGGGCCCTGCCCTGTGCCACACCTCGGCCTTCTTCCGCTCTCGCTGCCTCTGCTGCTCCTAATCCAGGGGAGCTCGTGGAGTATATGCCCCTGCACTTGACTGTGGGACAGGCCTGACCCTGCCTGGCCTCCGAATCAAGTCTTAGTCTCTGTGATTTCTGTGGGAAGCCAGAGGAGGGCTGGGATAATTGTGCTTTTCTACAACCACAGGGTTGGATGCCACGGCCTGAAGCCCTAAGCCACAGCAATCCAGGCTGCCCAGAGGGCAAGGAAAGCAGGTCCCCAACAACCTTGGGGACGTACGAGGCTGGACACTGAGCACTCATGCTCCCTTTTTGCCAGCCTGGCCTGTTTACCCTCTGGCCTGTCACACGTAAGTCCCGGTAAGAGGCTTACAGTTCTGAGCACCTAGGTGGAAGCAATTAAAAAGCAAAGAGAGAGGCAAGAGGCTGGGCAGAAACAGCCAGCAGTAGCCCCCTTTCCAGGCTGAAGCACACGGGGACCCTGACCACAAGTTTTCATCCGCACATCTGCATACAGCTATCCAGGGAGCGCCCTGGTTTTTGGAGACTCACTCTCTCCACAGATATGGCAGGGGGTCTGCTTGTCACTCTGGGCCCCAGATGGCATGAGCTGAAGTGCTCCCTCTGAAAGCTGTGCCCCCACCCTCCTGGAAGCCCCCTTACCGGTCACAACGGGGTATGTCTGCGTGCCTGACACGTTGCTGGCCAGCTCAGGGTTGGTGGATGCAGATAGACTCGACTTGACTTCATCAAGCCCAGGGGTCAGGGCTGGGAGGGAGTACTCGTTCCCCTGGGAGGAGAGAGAAAAGAGACAGCTCTCTATTGACGCACACACTCGGAGAAAGGGCTCGGTGTGCAGATGGGGAGGAGGACCGGGGAGCTCTCCCAGCTGGGGTGGAAGGAGATGGCCAGGCAGAGGGAGGGGCGGGCTGGAGAATGATGCAGAGTTTCGTGTGGGCGGATGCAGACCTGATCTTGTGAAGCCTGGGTACAGCCTATACCTGGTTGGTGGTTATCCAAGCACCCTTCACATTGCTAGAGCAGCTCCTGCCTAAAAAGGCCAGAGAGTGGAGTGTAGCAGTGAGGATCCTCTGCTGAGAGGCAAGGGGTGTTTTAAGGTCCCCCTGGGGTGGAGAACCTTGGGGAGGAGGGGCGGACTGTGACACGATGGCAGAAGCAGCAGGAGCTGGGGGAAGGGCCCAGTGGGGCCTCCAGCCTGGCACTGCTGGGCCGGCTGATCGGGTGCTGGCGCCCCCTTTTTAAAAACAAACAAAGACAGCCCCACGGGCCCCTCGCTCTCTGCCTGTGCACTGGGGTATGAAATTGGGGAGGGGGAGAGTCCACATGGCTAACAGAAGGGTGGGAGGGGGCCAGTCATTGACTCTGAAAGGGTGTCCTGCCCGAAACACTCGGGTAATTGCCTTTTTATTGCAGCCACCGCCAAGCCAGACCCCAGAGCTGGGCAGGCCAGGAGCCTGCACAAAGCAGGAAAAGTTGCTCTGATTAATATTACGTTAAATTAAAACTGATTTTCTGCTCTTTCGGGTCCGTTTTTTTCCCTTCCACTTCCTGGCCCCCCCAGAGGACCCCCTCTCCTCCCTGGCTGGACGGGATTGCCTCGTCATTTCCAATTCCTTCTCGTATTGATCTTCCTGTAGAAATCAGTTTTGTAATTAGCTGCAAATTAGGCCTTCTACTGGGGGTGAAGCTGCCCCCTGATTTATCACCAGAGTAATTCGCTGTGATCGGAGAGAAATTAAAATGAACTCAATTAGGCTTCGGATTTGCTTTATGGGCCCTGCTCCGAGTTTCAGGGGGAAAAATGACTGTGCTGGTGTTTAATAGTCTAATGAAAGTAAATAAAGGTTATTCATTGTAATACAGCCGGGGACTCGGGGAGGGTGCACCGAGCAGCCTGTCTCGGCCGGCTCCTCCTTTGTTGGTTTATGGCTCAGGGCACCTTAAAAAGACTTTTGATTTTTGTTTTATGAAGACAAACAGCTTATGGGATAAAAGGACAGGCGGGGAGAAAGGCGAGTGGCTGCGAGCCGCCGGAGTCCTAGAGCGGAACTGCGCTGCGTGAAGCTGGTGGGGCTGCGCTGGCTCGTGTGCGCGCGCGTGCTGGTGTGTGCCCTGTGTGCACGCGCACGCGCAGCGGGGTGTGTGTGGCGCTGCAGTTGTGGGCCCGGCTTGGACTGTGGTTGAGGGAAGAATGGGGGTGTGTTTGGCATGTGCACTGTGGGCTCCACTGAGGTGCGGGTGGAAGGGGAGCTGGAGGGCGCTGAGCTGGTGGGCGGAACACTGGGAGTGCTATGGGCTGAGGGGAGAGGGAGTTGGTGGGTGTGGCGGTGTGTAAACACGTGCACATGGGGCAAACGTGAGGAGCTGGGAGATGTGTTTCCACATTGTGCATCACGCAGGTGGGCTGTGGGCTGTGTCCCGTGCTGTGTGTTCCGGACTGGGGAGCAAGGGGCAGGCACAGCTGGGTGAGAAGAGTGCCATGGGTTGGCACAGACTTTCTATAGGACCTATGGAGATTTAGGCAGGGGGCACGTACATAGAGTATGCAGTTCCTGAGTACTCTATGCCACAAGCAGGTCAAGGCAGGGCCAGAAGGAATCTGTTAGATCCCATGTCCAAGGCCTTCATTTATACAGGGGGAAACTGAGGCTCTGAAAGTGTTAAGACTTACCCAAGGCCATACTCGCTCCGAGAACTCACCATTTCTAACTACCACATACCACATGATTTGTCCTAACTCCACTATAATGTCCTGTGTGGGCATGTTCACAGGGGCCACACACGGTGCGATCACATGCAGCACATGCAATGCTGGGTGCGCACACAGCTGATCCCCGTGCACGCGCTCCAGAGGCCTGCCCTGCCCAGATCCTTTCCTCTTCTGCACGCAGCAAGCGCCTTCCTCACCTGTTCTGACTTGATGTGCTCTGATGCCTGGAAGACGTCAGGGTAGGAAGGACGCTCAAAGACCCGATCCAAAGCTTCCAGCTGCTGCTGGGTGAAGGTGTCAGCTCGCAAGTGCTTCCGCAAACTGTCCACGCCACTCTGGGAGTCTCCATTGGGGACTGAGCCCTCGGACACATCTGGGGGACACATGACACTCGGGGCATCAGCACAGGCCAGCAGAGGCACAGAGTAGTGCAGTGGGCAAATGGGGTACCTGGCTTGGTCCCTGGGGCTTTGCAACCCTGCTGGGACCCCTTACTCCCAGCTTTGAGGCTGGAGGGGCTGGCCCAGGGCTGGCCATGCCTCAGAGATCTGGCTGAGGTAGCCAGAGGCTCTGAACGAGCTGGGAAGAGACAGGGAGGTTGTCCCAGTGTGGGGCCAGAGGACTAGACAGAGGTGGAGCTACAGGGGATCTCAGGGGCCATCTCCCTTGAACTCCTGTGCCCTGGCCTGGGTTGGCCTGGGGGAGGGGCTGGGTGTCTGGGACCGGCATTGCCCAGCCTGTGGAGAATTGAACTTGGCTTCAAGATGAATATCAGTTCCACTGGCTCCAAGGGTGGAAAATCATCAAATCTCCGAGGCTGAGTGTAACATGGAGACTGGGTGAAGCAATTAACTTCACCACTGGAGGGGGTGGGGGGCGGGACGTGAAGCCAAGCTGAGGCATTTTGCTTGCGTTGTGCCAGGACTGAGATCGAGCAGGAGGACAGAGGTGGCAGGTGAGCAGTAAAGTACTAACTTGGGCAGAGACTGCAGACAGAGTCCTTGTGGACGCTGTGCTGCCCAGGCCGCCCTGCTCAGCCTCCGTCCCTGGCCTGGACTCTGGCCAGGCCCCTACCAGAGGCCAGTTCCTTGGCCACCTCATTCCTCCTGTGGGTCTGCACAGGGAGCTGAGACTCGCTCCACGCAGGAAAAGCCACAGCACTGCCATGTTGCTGCCTGCTCCCTGGTGCCGCAGGCCAACGCTGTCCACATCCCGCCCCACCCAGGCTTTCTCACCATGCTGCTTCCCCTGCCTCCCCACCCCTGCCCTCCCGCATCAGGCCCGCAGGAGTTTTCAGGGTACACAGTGGGCCAAGCGCCTACTCTGCCACCTCTCCTTGGACCCCCACCCTGCAACTTCCCTGGACCAAAGCTGGGTCCTCCTCAGCCCTAGCTTGGCCAAAACCCCCAGGGCCTTGGGCCTGGGCCCAGCCCATGTTGTAGGGCCCAGGGTGATCCTCTGGGACTGTTATATATATATCAGTTTATAGTGATTATACGATATGATATAATCAATACTGCATTATATACAGTAACACCATACAGTATCATTCGTGAGAACATAGAAAATATTACATATTGATTAACCTCGACCTGCAGCCATCCTCTCTTGCTGGCCTCTCATATGGAGAACGGGGGTCTGCTTTCTTAATGGGACCCCCTGTCTTCCCTGCACTTTATTCTGGAGAAGATGGGAAAGCAAAGAGAGTGTGTGTATGTGTGTGTGTGAGTGAGTGATGGGGGTGGGAGAAAGAGAGTGAAATGAAAACCAAGATCAAGTCCAAGGAGGACAGACAAACACAGGGACAGTCTCAATGGTATTTCTATATTCTCTCTGCTCCTCTGGACACAAAACTTGGTGGTTGTGTTTTTTTCTCTGTAAGCCTCCGCAATGATTTTCTGTCTGAGAGGGTATATGCCTTTCTTTATACAAGTTTGGGTGTGACATATTTATTTCTCCCTCTTGTGTGAGTATTCTCCGAGTAGATGCATTTCTACGTGTGTAAACATATAAGTGTCTAGGTATGTGTAAGTGGCAGACTGAGAACTTTCTTTGAAAGATGGGTGTGTGTGTGCGCATGTGCGGTTGTGTGGGGAGCACGAGCCCATGTCCCCTGTGTGTCTCCTGTCCCTGCTTCTCTTCCACGGATGTGCGGTCATCCTAGTCCCACCCCTTGCAGCTCTTTGCATGTTTCATTGTGTCCTAATCCTCCCCTGCTAGAGTCCCCCCACCTTTGGGGAAAGCCTGGCTATAAGGACTGGGGGAGGCAGCGGGACTGTCTTTGTGTGAGGTTATTACAGTGTCACCAGTGGGCCCTGGGCAGTAAAGTGTGCATCTGTCTGTGAGCGGATGCTCACACATTATGTGCATGGGTGTGTGCATGTGTGTGGTGAGACTCACGCCGTGCCCCTGAGTAGATTTGTGACTATGCCTGTGTGTGGCTTGACTAAGCCTGTGTGTGTATGTGTGGGTAGGAGCTGAACTGAAGCTTTGTCCTCAGGTCACTGGCTGGAGGAGTCTCTTTTCCTTCATTTATTCAGGGGCCCTTCAGATCTTGACAAATCTGTCACTCTAAATTTGCGAGAGATTATGGTGCTCTCTCCCCAGCCCGCAGAGAGGTGATATATGATATCTGCTGCCCCTATTGATTGCCTGATCTGGTGGCAGAGGCCGGCGAAATGAACTTGAAATGAACATCATGCCTCAACTCATTGTGCGTATAATACACTACTTAATCCCACATTTTTCAGCCGCTATGGAATTCAATTGATCAATCATGTTCCACTGATAGTACTGTTTTAGGGGTTATTGCTGCTCCCTCCACTCACTGACCTTTTTATTTATTTATTTTTTTGTATACTTGGGCCCTGGTGATGAGACAGGTTACAGAGGCTGCAATGGAGAGGAATGGGGAGGGAAAAGGAAAGGCGAAAGGAAGTCTGCTACTGGCAGAGATGGCAGTGGGAGGTGGGGAAGGGGAAGAAGAGGAGGAAGGGGGTGGGGAGAGGAAGAGAGAGAAGGTGCTAGAGGAGCAGCAGAGCAAACTGGTGTGATGAAAGCACGCAGGGAACCCCCAAGAGAGGCTGCTGGAGAAGTGAGCAAACTCCCCCCCAAAGGAGAAGGACGGCGACAGGGAGGGGGAAAGGCAGCAGTGATGATGAATCATGAGGAGCACAGAGAAGTTCAGGGGGATCGGGGAGGTGAGCCAGGGGGGCAGGGAGAGGGCAGTGGCATGAGTGGTGGGGGACAGGGAGGCAGCCCTCTCAAGTCAGCCAAAGGGCCGAAAGGTTCTCCTAGGCTCTCTCCAGAGAACCGGGTGGTACCTGCCCTCAGCTAGAGAAGAAAGGGGGGAATGAAGGTAAGGAGGAGTGAGGAAAGGGAGTTGGGAGATGCCTGAGAAAGGGCGAAAAGAGAGAGGAAGAAAGGGAAGGAGATTCCCACACTAGGAGCCTGGGGCGGCACTGGCTTGGGTGAGGGCACTTGCCACAGGAATAAACCCAGCTGGCTCTGCTTCTCCATAAACCTGGGTGTCCAGCTAAGGAGGGCAGCCCAGGGCCCAGATGAGGGTAGGGAGTGGTTGAGGAGGAGAAGAGAATAGAGGAGGAGCAGAGAAGACAAGAGAACATGGAAGAACAGAAAAGGGCGAGAAAATGAAGCAGTTGTTAGTGCCGACCATTTGGAGAGACCCTCCTCAGGAGAATGGAGAGAGACAGAGAGAGAGAAAGAGCTCAGAGTGGGGTTTCCCAAGGGTAGTCTCAGAGGTGACAGCAAGGAAGAGCGTGGAACCGGGCTATGACACAGCTGCTAGGCCCAGGTACTGAAGTGCTCTTTGGCAGAGCAGGGCTAAACTAGAGGAGGAGGCAGAAGCGGTCCCTGAGTGAGCAGGGAAGGAAAGGGGGTGAGTAATTAGACAGTGTCCTTCCCCGTGTGAGCTCCCGTGTGCAGGGACCGTGACCCACGCATCTTGGGAGCTCCAGTGCCAGGCACGGAGCTGGGCATACAGTTGGTACTCAATGAATGACTTTAGAATAAATGAATGAGGTTCTGCTGGGGAGCACTCAAAGCCAGACCCCTGGCAGAAGGTCTTTGGGCTGTCGACCTGACTGGCTTGGCAGCCTAGGACACCCAGTCCCTTGTCAGGCAAGTCCCTCTCATCCCAGCTATCAGAGGCCGCTGGGTAGACCTATGCCCCTCTTCACTCATTCCCACTGCTTAGCTTCTGGCAGCATCAACTCCGGTCTGCAGGAGGCCCTTCCTTCTCTCATCCGCACCATCCTGCCCACCTACAATGGCTGTCCCCAAGGGACAGAGAGCACTGTGTTCCCAGTGCAGAACCTTGGAGCTGCAGAACTGCCATCCAAAGCAGGTAAGAGAGGTTGCTTGAGAATGGGGCCCAGGCGGCCTCTGCTTTGGACTCCCCACGCCAACCCCTGGTCACAGAGAGCAGGGTCAACGCAAAAAATGGGTCTATTTGCCCATGGCGGGAGCTGGTTCCAGGGAAAGCCTTTCCCAAATGATGGGAGGAGGCCCTTGGCCTTCACCTTGATGGAATCAGAGGCCCCTTGTCAGGACTCCAAGAAGAGGGCTGGAGTATGGTGGCCATATGTCCTGAGCTTTCTGGAACAGTTCTGACTTCCAAAATCCTATCCTACTCTTGGGCCACAGACTGAGGTTGGAAAATGTGGTTGTTGTAGTTTAGTGAGACCCCACAGAGCAAGGAAGAAATGGTGTGCTAGTCGGTCTGCACAGGTGAAGGATTCGGCCCTGTTCTCCCGCTCCCCCCTGAGCAGCCACCATCCACTAGCAGCTCACAGTACTGAGAGCTTATCACAAGCCATTGCTGAACTTTACACAGTTTATTTAATCCCCCTACCAACACCCCTGGGAGGTAAATGCTGTGATACCTATTTAAAGATAAAGAAACTGAGGCAAAGAGATGAAATAGGCCATGCAGCTGGCATATGACAGTGAGAATTTGAATTCAGGTCCGTCTGAGTCCAGAGCCTGCTCTCTACATCATTTCACTCTTCTGCCTGGGTACCAAACCCAGGGGCCCAGCTGGGGGCCACCTGGCCCCATCCAGGACATGGTTCCCCTCCCAGTATCCCCATTTCTCTGCTTTGCATGCCCCCTATGCTGAGGCTGCAGCCTGTGGCCCCTGAGCTGGCTGGGCACAGACTGTGCCCAGAGTGATTAGGGGACACCTGGTGAAAAGTCCTCATTTCACAGTAATGAAAACTAGTGGGGTGGGCAGTGAGGTGGAGGAGGGGAGATGGCAAGTCCAAGGTCACACAGCCAGGTAGTCTCAAGCCTGGAGCCCATTCCAGGACCTTTGTTCACTACAGTGTGAGTGCGTTCAAGGAGAGTGAACCT